TAGGAGCCCTCCGTGTTCTCACAGGTGCCGCCCCGGCACAGGGGCTCGGGGCTGCCCACCTCCTCGCACTCGTTGATGTCTGCAAGGAGAAGGGTAGGGGGGAGCTGGTGGCACAGTGAGCAGTCCCAGCCCACAGCCAACATCTCCTTGTGCCCCTGCTACCACCTCAGCCTCCCTCACAGGTGCCCCATGTCCCCCCAGCACCTCCAGGATGCCCACCGTGATTCCACCACACCCCTCAGCACATCCACACGGCCCCCTCAGTCCCCAAGGATAACATCCCCAGCATCCCCCCGCAATGCAATGCACACCAGATAGGCCCCCCCCCCCCCCCGCTCTGCAGCTGATGACACCCCCAGGTTAGCAGCTTCCTGCTAATAAGTTGTGCTAGTGTAAGATCTGTGAGAAAGGCTGCCTCCAGCCTTGGAAAATGCCTTTTCCTGATCTGACAAGGCCAAGGAGGCAGATGATGGTGGCCCTGAGAGACTGATTATCACCTCCAGGACCAGAACATGGAGGGACCTCGTGCTGTGCAAACAAGGGCTTGTTTTATTAACCTGTAAACTGTGCCAAAGGGCTCCCTTAGCCGAGTCACTGTGGGCTAGAGCCTGCATGCGAGCCCTACAGCAGCTGCCTCACTGGGACACGTCTGCTCTGCTAAATGCACTTCCCTGGACACCCTGCCTGAGATACCCCAGATTGTGGTGGGGCCACCAGCTGTGCACAGCATCTCAGCGTACCCCAGAGCCCTTGTTTGCACTCATGGGACCTCCAGAGCCCAAATCCTCCCCTGCCAAGACAGGTCTGAGCCCTCTGACCACAAACTCCAGCCTTACCCCCCACAGATCAGCAGGGAGTGGGAGTGGAGAGCAGCTGAGGGGTTCAGCCACCCACTCAAGGAATAACAAAGGCCCCAGCAGTGACCGATGGACTCCAGGAAGACTGAAGAGCTCTGCCACTCTGAGGACCTCGGGATTTCCCTAGCAGAGGTGGAGGGGGCAAGCTGGCAAAGAAAGGGAAGTGCAACCCCAGGGAGGAAGGCTGGAAGCAAAACCTTGAGGTGTGGTGGGAGGAAGCACAGCAGTCACAGGAGGAAGAAGGAGAGGGGAAACGTGAGATGACAGAGCTTGGGGAACATGGCAGCCTTTGTAATGCAGCCAAAGCCAATGGCTGAATGGGCACTGTGGACTTGGGCTAACCCTCAGGACCAGAACATCACCGTGGATGGGATGGGCTTGCTCAGAAGCCCAAGGAGAGAGTGAATCAAGGGAGAGCAGTCCCCAGAAGTGTTCCACAGCCTGGGAAGCAGGGGGAGGCAGACTTTCTGGGAGCTCCACGGAAAGGTAAAAGGGGGAATAGTGGGCAGGCTGGGCTGGCTGTGGCCCACCAAAACAGGAGAAGTAAACCAAGGCTACTTAGCTCAGAGGCACCCAAAAGCCAGAAGCAGTAGAGTAGTCCTAGCAGTGTGCATCACGCCATGGATCCTGCCCACACAGGCAGGGGTGGGAGCAGGCAGCCTGTCCTGCAGGGTGAGGGCAAGCTATCCCTGAAGAGAGGTGAGAGGGGAATCATAGCAGCAGCCACAGGAATACTCCAAAGCCCTGAAGTCAGCAAGGTAAAAACACGAGGATGACTAAGCACCACGTAGGAGAACTGAAGGAAAAAGAAAAAACAAAAAAACAAAAAACAAACAAAAACCGAGACAGGCTCCAGTGTAAAATGAGTGCTAGTTAGTCCAGGACAGGAAAAACAACAAGCAAAGGCTCCATAAATATGTTAGCAGGAAACAACGGGGAATGTCAGTCTAGTCCTTATCGGTGGAGGAAACAAAAGCCAGCTGAGCTGGCTAGAGCAGCTAAGGCAGGCTTTGTTCCAGCCATTACAGAAATGCTCATGGTGACCAGACAGGGCGCAGACCACGTTTGCAGTATTTAAATGAGGGTGCAGGAGCACAGGAAGGGAAAGGCCATACTGTGATGGAGAGGTTCGACAATCAGACAGATAAAGCTGTTACATGCATATTGCTAAAGGCTTGCCTGCAACTCATCTTCATATACTTAATGCTCCTGCAGTCCCTGAAAAGTTGGCAGTTCTCTCTGAGATGGAGGACAAAGGAGGTCTCAGAGACCCAAGGAAGGGTAAGTCCAGTAACCATCTTCATAAACAGAGAAGGGAGAACCCCGAATTACAGACTACTTACCCCCATTCCCTTAAACAGACTAGGTTTGTGAGTGATTAGGTCATAACCCTCCAAAGAATATCAGGGTCAATAAATAGCTGGTGAAGATCTGTTAAGGCCTGATTACGTTAAGCCAATCTGGTTCCCTTCGCTGACCTGATAACTGATCTGTCAGATAAGGAAGAAGCAGTGGATGTGATGTGCCTTGGCCAGGGTGAGGATTTCAACAGGCTCTCACATGACGCACTCAAGCCAGCTGCAGCTATTGCACAACAGGCCACAAAGCTGCACTCCACAGATAGTTAGCAATACCTGGCTGTTACAATAAAAGCCATTTAAATCATAGCCTGCAGGGGTCTGTCCTGACCCCTACTCCATTCAATGTTGTCATTAGGGTGGACCAAAGAAGAATCCTCGTGATTATGAAATGTATGCGTGTGATGCCAGCACATGGAGGGCAGCTGGGGTTCAGACTCATTCTGATCAAGAAGAGAAGTGATCCAAAATCAACCAGACAAAATTCACTGAAGGCAAGTGCAGCGCACTGTGGCAAAGGAAAAGGGAAACAGAGTGCACAAATGCAGAAGGGGAAGTAACATCTCAGGCAGCCATTCCGTCCAGCAGCATTTGGGGAGGCAGAGGCCAGGGCTTCCATATGAAGAAGCTGGGAGCTGGAGTAAGTGCTGTGCCTAACGAAAGAGAGGGTTTTCATCTACTCTGTTGAGCGCCTGGGGCCTCAGCTGGCTTGTGGAGCTGTGCTGTGAAAAGGACGGAGATATGGTGTGGGGATGTAGGGGAGATGCAGAGAGCAGCTTCAGAGACCATGTCTCATAGGACAGGGTTGAAAGTGAGGAATTTCACCAGGGCAGCAGGGAACGTAGAGGAAAGTAATCAGGGATAGAATAACAGTGGCTGGTGATGTACAAGTGTTATGCGAAATGGTGAGCGATCAGCTGCTCCCCATGGTGCCCAGAGGTGCCCTGATCTAGCCGCCAGCGGAAAGTGACCAGCTGAACCTCCAGGAAGGTCCTCCCAGCTCTATGGGAAGGAAGCACCAGGGTGTGCAGGGACTCCTCCGGCAGCTGTCCCGGCCAGCACCACCAGAGAGCGGCAGCCGCCCACGGAAGC